CATGGCAGTCTTATTCAACCCCCTTCAAATAAAGTGTTACCATAAAATTTGATATACTTTAATCGTAATAGTAACAAATTGTTCAGTAGTGAGTTTTTTTTTTTAAATGAGAAATACAACTTGTAAAAGTTAAAATGTCAAACTCAGAGATTCACAAGAACCTTACAGTATCGGCATCGGCCAGCTTTACAATCAGTGCATCAAAAATAAGAGGAGCGTTGAGTCAGAATGTTAGCATAAATAATCCTCACACAGGGAGAAGAAGAAAAACATGATGAGCCTTTGATAGATTACAGGTGGTATATACGTGTGTGTGTGTGTGTGTGTGTGTATGTGTGTGTGTGCGTGTGTGTATGTTTTCCTGGGGCTGGATAATAAGGAATGTGTGGGTGAGGTAAAAACAGCAGGATTGATAAGAGGAGAATCAGTCGGTGCTGTCGCCCTCAACAAAACAGATGCATCAGCGACAGCTGGGGTCAGAGGTCATACCACATGTCACCGCACAGAAAAACAACCTGAGAGATGAATTTTTCGTGTATTTTAGAAGAATTTGAAACTGTGTAACTTTAACAGGACAGATCTGAAGAGAATATTTTTAATAATATTTTTAATAATTTTCATATTTTGTATTTTGTCATCTGAATATCAAATCTTAACCAAATCACAGACATTGAGATGAGCTGAAGCCTTTTCTGATCCAGAAGCTGTTCTGGGTTCTTCTGAGCCACCAACATCATTTTAGTAGACCTGCCACTCTTAGAAAGGTTTTCTGACTCTCACTGTTGTTCTCTGGAATCTTACAAATGGATGGTGATCATTTTCAGATAAATCCATGTCAGTAACATTGGGTCTTATTTTTATTGATTCTCTGTAAGCTGGAGGATAACCTTCTGCTTTTCGAAATCTTTTAGTCTGCTTCGTGTTGTTAGACAGGTTCTGTTGAAAGGATTTCTTCTCCAGACAGAAATCAGGCCTGAACAGATGAAATGCGGTCAGGGAAAGCTGATTTAGAATTAAAGAAGGTGGCAGCTTTTTTTTTTTTTTTTTAAACTGCTGTAAAAGTGAGTGGGGAAGCATGAATCGTCCCTGGCAACTGAAGGCGTTTCCTTCCTTTAATAACCTGAGATGATTTTTCTCAGGAAATGGTTCTGCATAAATAAACTGAACTGTGTTGAATTCTTGGCCTGGTTTCATATTTTCAGGTTTAAAACAAAGATGCTTCCATATGATGAAGCTTTAAAAACACATTTCAGATCCTCAGGAGTTATGAAGAGAAATAAAACATTCTAATGATTCCTTGGACTCATAAATACTCAAATCTCAAATATTTAAAGCATAAGATCAGATAACAAAGCACACTTTGATTTATCAAAGGAGTTTCTCTGAGTGGTGACCTCTGCCCCCCCCCCCTTCCCTCAGTAAGTGTGTTGGAGGAGCTGATAACTGATGTCTTTGCTCCTCCAGCCTCCATTGGACCCGAACACAACGTCACAAACGCTCACCTTTCAATCAGAGAACTTGAGATATTTTAAGAAGAATGTGTAGAAATTTCAGTCTCTAGACGTGCAAAGCTGGTAGACTCAGAACTATTTTAACTACTATAAAGGGGCTTCAATGAAGGATTGACAAATGCATGCCACACTTTTCAAATTTTCACATTTGAAAAACAATTTGAAAACCTCTCATTTTCCACTTTACATTTATGCACTACTTTGTGTTAGTGTGTCAAGTAACGTCTTAACAAAACTCACTGATATTTGTGGCTGTATCAGGAAAAACGTGAAGAGATTCAAATAATCTGAATTCTACACCAGCTTATCAGGGCCAATGTGGATAGAAAAACAGGAAAAGAAATTTTTCAGCCACAAACCTCAGAAATGTTCCAGAAAATTTTTTGATTTTTTTTTTTAATTTCTAGAATGTTCTAGAAAATTTCTGCGTTGACAATTTTCAACTTTTAAAGCTCTGATTTTTTTTTTCTATAATTTTTTTTTAGATTAACCTCAATATTTCCAATTTTTGTCAGAAATTGACACGCCATCACAGAGTTCTGTTGCATTATGTTAATTACACTAGAGAATAAATCTGTGAAAACCAGGCAGGCTGTGATGCAACAGAGGAGAAAGGAGATAATGCAATACTTTGCATAGTTGGTTTCATAAGCAGAGGTCAGGAAGGTCAATGATTCATCCTCTTCTTTATAGATATGAGCCTCATATCATTGGAAAATATTTCTGTGATTTACTGATTAAGTACCAAAGCAATGTGGAAGCTTCTTATTGTTGCTTCTAATTCAGAATTTAGACCTGCAGTGGTTTGATTTAGTTTAATTCAATGTATTTTATATGATTATGACAGTGAACATTAATCATAATTACCACAATTCATGGCAGTGGTGATCCTTTTTGGAAAGTTCTCCCACTAACAATAGTTAATTTCAAAGGACTTTCTTCTTAAAGTAAGATTAAGTAAGCAAATAAATAACCTGGCATGACTGAATTATTTTTATTTATTAATTTTTTACTTCTTTTTTTGGGTGGGAAAGGTTCCAGTGTGACCGAGCCACTATACGATGAACACGTTGAAAGCTCAGGGGCTCAGACGGTGGAAGGCCATTGTTTTCTGGCCGCAGCGTTGGGTGAGGGCTGTTCATGGGTCACTAAAAACAGGTTGTGGTCGTGGGTGGGGCGCCTCCAAGTTTATTGTTTGCAGCTTCCTGCTCTGATTGTTCTAAATAGAGAAACAGAAGACGATGGTGAGCTGAGGTTGGAGCTCAAAGATGTCCCAACAGGAGAACCTGGTGCCTTAAAATGAAACGGTTCTTAATGAAACTAGGACCTTTTCGTACTTTTTTCCATCAAGAATGACTAAAATGATACACATTTTAGTACCTATCTGACTAAAATTTGGCAAATATGCCAAATATTTTGGCATATTTGATATACCAAATATGTTATTGGGCATATCATATTAGCTCCACATGATGAGGATGTCGTCATTTATCACCTTGAAGTTTGCTTGTTTTGTTCAAACATCTTACGTTTACCTTGGTGTGATCTGACTGCTCAGGTGTTTAACTGCCAGAGTGAGGAAGTCAATTCAGAAGGAACATCACATTCAAACGAGAAGATGCAAAACCTGTCGAAATAAGAAAGTATCTCATTTAAGCAAGATGAGTTTTATATCCTGTGAGAACAAGAAAGTTCCTTTTTTATTTAGAAGTTGTCAGACAGGAAGGTGGCTAATGAGGGAAGGAGAAGATGTGAGGCAAAGGTCACCAGGCAAAGGTCACCAGGTCGGGGCTCGAACCTGTGACAGCTGCTTTAGGGCCTCCTTACATGGCCACGCGTTGCCCCATCCCACCACCGCAGCCCGAGTTGCTTCTTTTAACAATTAACAAAAACATCTTTTACTGACAAATTATGATGACTTAAACAGGCATAAAGAGAAAGTTTATGCAAAACCTTCCAGTCAGAAAGTTTATGCACAAACCTTCCAGTCAGAAGGATGTAGAGTCCCACTGATTCCACATTCTCACCCTCAGATATAAAACTCATAGCTGTTTTCATGTGCTACCCACTCTGGTGTTCCCAGCTAGTAATGAGTTTATCTGTTTTACTTGCAGGCATCTGTTCAGAGAGCAGCGGCGTTTCCACCACAAAACCAGATGAAACAGGGAAACCAACAAGTGCTTCTACTGTTACATCTGCTTCAATCATTGCCCCAGGCTCACCACAATCCAGTCATGAGTCTAAAAAGCCAACGAGTGAAGCCCCGTCCATAGGAACGACTCAGCAGCAACCCACAACGGTCACTAACAACCTTCCCACTGTAGCAGCAGCAAACACTACTACAGCACAGTCAAAAACCAATACACAGATCTTAACCACACCTGCCACCACGTCTGGTGCCATCAATCCTCCAACCACCACTGTCACCACCTCCATTACGACTGTCATCTCTACCTCGACAACAAACCAAGCTATAGGGAGTCCTGACAGCAACAGCAATTCAGTGTTGACTACAGCTACTGTGTCCAACAGAGGTACTGTGGCATCGACCTTAAAACCAAGTGAAAATGCTATGGAGAAGACAACCAACACAGCTGGTCCACCGGTGGGGCCAACGTCTCAGAGGAGCCAAGCAACATTGACGGCTGCCAGCAGCAACGAGGGCAGCAAAGCAGGTGAAGCAGCTTTTTGCTCACAATTGAAACACAACATATGCAACAATTGAGTGGTTGATGTCTCATTTCATGACATCATGTCTCAAAAGCCACAACTCATGAAGTTAGTCTGTTGGTTGAGGAACCAAACACTGAGGTTGAGAAGCTGTGGGCTACAATGGTGTATATCTTGTGTTCATGAGTCTTTTAACTCATGAAAAACGTTGCTAGTCATTGCAGTTTCATCCACATTAGTTCATCTTTGATGTGTAAAGCCAAATATGTTTATTAGGAAGAACAGGAAGAGACTTTAAAAATTGATGTTTGGTGTCAGATTGGAATTGCAGGAAGAGGAGTTCACTGGAGTGATACCTCACAGTTTAGGATTCTCCTCAACAACCTTCCCACACCTGACAAAGACCACCACCATGGTCATAAGGATGGTGCATTCTGGGTGATGTGCATTTTTCATTTCCAACCACACANAGTTTACTTTTTTCCATTTAGATCAAAGAGATAAATTCTTACTGGGTCCAACTCTTTGACTTGTGGCAGACGTCTTGCAGCTTGGTCTCAATGGCTACTTTTCTCTTGCTGCTCTTCCATAAAGGCCAGATTTGTGGAGTTATCAACCATTAATTACTCTGTCATCTCAAAGCCAAGCTGTGGGTCTCTGCAGCTCTTTATTTACTTCCATTGCTTCTCTGTCCCTGCTGGATGGGATAAGCCAATGCAGACAAAGGATATATTGCATTTGGTGTCTTCACCTTTTTCTCAGATTACATGTGATTATTATCTTTTGTTTAATGAGTAAAACAAGCTTATCTAAACTTAAACCACACGAGATAACTTAAAAGTTATCTCTTTTCCAGAGATAACTAAAATCACTAGATATTAATTTTGTTCCTGAAAAATCTAGATTGTTCTATTCTGTCTCTCATGACTCCCCTCTCAGGGTCAGTCCCTTATCTTCATTTCTTAGTGAGGAATCCCATTTTATCTCTTCCTCCAGTTCATAAGAATACAACCTTTACCAATCTGTCCTTTCTGATTGAAGGTCCCACTCCACAGACTGTGACAAAGACGGGGTTAGAGTCGACTGCACCTTCAAACTCCAACCAGGTCCCAGAGAGGAGCTCCACTTCCAGCCACACTCCGACTGCAAAAGACACTCTTGTCATCACTCAAAGCCCGACCCCTGCAGCCATGACATGGCCTGGGGTGACTGAGACAAACACTGAGACATTTCTGGTAAGTTGGACAATGCTGCCTTCCATCAGTTGCGGTTTTGACAAAACACACAAATTAACCATTTGCTTAACATATGTCTTTGTTCTCTTGCAGTTTTCTCTGAGCGATTCAGAGGTAAGATTTACGTTTTGATTTGAATCATTAAGTCTTAATCAAACCATTATGACTGTTTCTATTCTTGCAAATAACAAAAGAGGCAGTGAACACAATCCTGAGCCATTGTCCCGTCAGCCCACACCCTTCCCACTCCGTTTTTAGGTCCCCCTTTTTTTTTTTTTTTTTTTTTGAAGACTTGATGCAAGAGAACTACAAAAAACAATGCTATATTTATTTGAGCATAGCAGTTCTGAGTAGCCATTCTTTTCCAGACTCTCTATTTAAACTTCCATTTTTAATATGCTACCTGCATATTAAATCATAAGAGTTTTGCCCAAAGGAAAGAAATTCACTGGCATTCCTACTGAGAGGCTTGTTTCTTTGTATGGTATTATCTCCTGTTTAAATCCTGGTTCAGATCTTTAGTATTTGAACATCACTGTTGCTATGCTTAATAATATAATATGCAGGAGATATGAAGAGAATCCCTGTGGAGCAGAAGTACTATAATGATTAATAATATTTATTTAACCAGATACAAACCTCAATAAGATCTAATATCTCATTTCTCAGGAGAAGCAGTGTAGAAGTATCAGCATTTCCAGTCATACAGTGACATATATAACATCAGCTAATAAAAAGCATGTCAGACTACCAGAAGCAGTAATGATCATAACTCTGTTCTTCACGGCCTTTCAGCACAGCTTTTAGCTCAGAGCATCTCTCACTCTGTCAGTTTAGAGTCTTACTGAAAGTCAGCTTATGGATTTACTTCAAATTCATTTCGGAAGCAAAATTTGATAAGTGGGAAGACATTCAAGTCTTCAATTCTGCATTGAATTTATAGATTTGGACATTCTAACACATAAATATGCTTTGATCAGAACCATTCTAATGAACCATTAGCAGCCAAATCAGACGTTTTGCAGCTTTGGCTTCAATATGTCAGACCACTCTGCTGAAGGCCTCAGAGTTTGGTTTGAGAAAAGCTGCCTGATGGTGACAGTTTTAGAAAAGAGGGGTTCCTCAAATCCAGGCCTCCAGGGCCGGTGTCCTCGACACGCCTCAATCAGAAGACTGAATGACCCCCGCAGTGCAGCCCAGTTCTGCAAATGACCTGATTGTTTGACCCAGGTGTGTTGAAGCAGAGCTACATCTAAACCCTGCAGGACTCTGGCCCTGAAGGCCTGGATTTAAGGATCCTGGCTCTGGAGGAGGAGGCAGTGAGGTCTGCTATAAAAAGAATCAAGGTTTCCAACAGCAGGGTGGAAAAACACCTCAGTGGAAACCTTTCCTGCCTGTCTCCAGCTTCCTTTGTTCCCACATCTTATTTATATTCTCAGCCTTGTCTTTGACTGACAAACATACCACAGGACCTTCACTAACAGAAACAATCCGAACATGACAGCACAGGAAGGCCTAACCTCCGCCGTCACCTCTGACTGCCGAGTCCTGCCTCTGCCTCTCATTCCTTTTCAGCTCATTCACCGACACATTGCATTTTCACTTGCAGTCAACGAAAAACAAAACTCTGGTGCAATTGTGCAAGAGCTTCATGTCCAGCCTGCGTAACAGTACCTGCATCGCTACGCTGCAGAACAACGGGAGTAAGATTGGCAGTTTGATGATTGAAGGTAAAACAGGCTCCACCTGTTAGTTACTCACATCTCACATTAAACACCTTTTATTTAAACTCCTGACAATTCATCTTGCAGTCGACATCAATCTGGTACAGGAGCAACTTTCAAAACTCAAAGAAGAAAAAAAACCTGCCGAAGTACGTATTATTTTGTTGGTGTTGTATTTCCAGGGTTTGTGTGCCAGAAGCAGAAGTTAACCTCTGTTTTGTTAATTTGGAGGAACCGACAGACAACAAAACCCTGACAGCCATCCTGGCCTCATGTGGAGCCCTACTCATCATGATCATCATCCTGGGCGTCTGCGTGTCCCAACGCCGCAAGCCGTACAACGAGAACCAGGTAGGCGCTAAACGTTGCCTGTTCAACTGACATCAAACAAAGAGACAAAAACATTCAATTCACCTCCATTAGCTGCAAATGACGCAGTGTTAACATTTTTGATGCTACTGTCACACCTGAATTTCCCTAGAGTGGAACCATAAAGGAGGTTTCTGTTCTATCCTAAAATCCTTGAGATCATCTGTGGAGAAGATTAGAACCAAGACTAGTTTAATAAAAGTAACGCAAATAGAATTAACCAATGATTATTGAGGTAGAAAACCAGAAAACAATTCTTTAAACTATTATTCTTTTTACGTTGCTTTATATTTTTGGTGACACTCATTTGTCTCATTTTCCATCAGAAACAAGTTTCTTTGTAAAATTAAAGTAATTAAACAAAAAACTTTTAACTTATAATTATGGATTTAACTCTGCCCCTGTGAAATTATCACTATGTTAAATTACACTGCTGTGACAGACTGGTGACCTGTCCAGGGTGACCCCTCCTCTCGCCCGAAACGTTTGCTGGAGATAGGCACCAGCAGCCCTCCTGACCCCACTAGGGACAAGGATGTTAGAAAATGGATGGATGGATAAATTGCACTGTTGTGTAACCAATAAGTCAGGTACATGTTTATCAGACATTCAGTTAACTTGAATGATTTACTTTCTAAAAAGAAATGAAGAGTATCGCTCTGAATTAGTGAAGGAATATTTGTCAGTCTTACTGAACTGATGAAATATATACAAGTATTATCCAGATTTCTTCAGATTGTTGTGAAACTGTTCTCTTAATGTGAGAACGATCTGGTTTAAGTTGAAACTGGAGCAGAAGATTTTAGACATAAAGACTAACCGTCTCGGCAGTTGCACACCGACCTCGAAAGCCCAAACATTCTCAAAGACTTTGTTCTCCTCTGTGAAGCTGCACCTGACCGAAGAGCTGCACACGGTGGAGAATGGTTACCATGACAACCCCACGCTGGAGGTGATGGAGGTACAGCCAGAGATGCAGGAGAAGAAGATGGCGCTGAACGGGGAATTCAGCGACAGCTGGATCGTCCCCATCGACAACCTGATGAAGGAGGACGCGCCCGATGAGGAGGACACCCACCTGTGAGGACAAGGCTGCTGGACCCGGGTTCCACCCACTCCCACAGCGCACCGTTGGTGTTTGAAACAGTGGCAAAATCAACATACTGAGCTAAATTGAAAAACTTCACCAAATCAATCACTGACTATGACATTTCTCCAAAAATCTACTATGGTTGACATTCTGCTCCCCCAGGCCACCCTGTCAGTATATCAGTGAGTGTCTGACAAACAATCATGCCTTTTGAAAACCAGCTAGAATGTCTGCTTAGAGAATTGGAAATATGGAAATATGTTATGGAAAACTCACTCATGTGCCGCTCATTCTCACACGCCGCTCTGGGTGAAGAGCCACGCTCTGTCTGCATGTCAAAAACCACCACTGCCCACTCACAAAAGTATCAATCACTTACTGGACCTGTAATTTATGAAAAGAAATGGGACGTAAAAGCCCAGAAACATGGTTCTGTTCCCGGTCCGGCTGGGTAACTGGGTTTCTGATCTCCTCGGCTGGTCCAGAGTTTTAACTTAGACGACGTCAGGATACTTTAAAGCATTCTGGTGATCCAGAAGACGGCTGAACAGACACAGCTGAGCACTAACATCTCACCTGGGGAAGCCCAGCCTGTACAGGCAGATCAAATCAGATCAGTAGGAGTCAGATTACTGACAAGGTCACATGTGAATATTATGCTTTTTAGCTCCTTGTTTATTATGTTTTCAATCAATTAAGACAGAACACTGATTAAATTTGATGAAATATCTGCTCTCATGCAGTAGGTGTTCATGAGTGGAAGTTGTCAAAGTGTTCTGCAAATAGAGGCTTGACTGCCAACTTTTGCAATGTCTGCTTGCATTTATTATATGTTTTGTCAGATTATTTGATAATTCGTTTGAAAGTTACAGGGTTTAAAGTCACGAGCTCTCTGACAATCAGATCTTGTTTCAGTTGGAGCTTTGGATGGGATCGTTTTGCAGCACTGACAGACCAAGCTCCCAGAAACATGTGCTTTAGGAATTAAACAGTAAACAAAACATCACTGAACTGTTATTCACATAGGATCAAGGTTAAATAGAACAAGCATAAAACTTTCATTGAAATGTAAAATATTACTTTGCACCTGCCACCTTTAGCTGCTGTTGGGTTTATGAAGTAGCAACGTAACTTCATCTAATACTGCAGTTGAAAACTACCACTAGAACCGCTTTCAACTCCACTCAGTCATGAATCCAATCATCTGTGTGGTGTGATCATGAATGTGCTACAGAAACAAAATGGAAAAAGAGACAACACTGAAAAAATTAAAGAATTGTTTTGCATCTAAAATTATATCTCATGACGTTCCAATGTCAGAACTAGTAAATCCATGGCCTTGTACCTCACAAATTTCTGAGATGTGATCCGGGTTACATCCTGTTAGGAGGCAGAGCAGGGAACGCTCCAGAACTTTGCTCTACTGGTACTGGCCGTCTGACATCTGAATAGATGTCAGTGTCTTATTTTGCTCTACCACTTGGTACCATCTTATTGAATTAATTTTGCTCCAGATGATTTCTGATAGTCCAGAAAAGCACATGAAGAATTCCCTCATGGATATAAATAGAGCTGCACAATATATGGAATGCAAATTCATAACCACAAACTGTTGGGATGCATTTGGTAAAGGAAAATACAGGATCAGCCACAATGGAATTCAATGCTTTCCTGATATTGTGCAATTCTGGAAATGTCAATGTGTAACATATGTTGAAAACAAATTTAGAATATAGAACTACCATCAGAATTTTGAGACAAATTGTTCCAAGTGGATAGAAAAGTGTTTAGTTTCCAGTGGAAGGCTGACCTGCTTCTGGGTTTATTCAAACTGGAGATGTTGAGAGAGTTAAGAAATCTACTGCTGCCCACTCCACTGGAGAAGAAAAGAATCCATTTTCTCACTCAAAGCTAATATGAGAAAGCCTGTACATAGCTGTAGGATTCATGTTGTTTTTAAAAGATGTTGCTGATATTAAAGAAATCAAATCACATTTATTTGGAGACCATCACACAGAAGAAGCCAATTATTTTTTTCTAGTTTTGATCTTTTTCAACCAATCAAGAACTTAATATATATTTACCTTCTAGCTACATATATAGAGGAAAATCAGTCACTTTGGGCTCTCCAGTCCAAGGCCCCCATTCTGCTGTTTTTCTTGTGTGTAAAATTTCACTTTTGTTATAGATGTGCTACTTTCACCAGACTATGTTAGCATTCTTTAATGTATTTATGGTTTGTTTGTTGCTGAAGGCGAACAGGGGTCTGACACACTGGAAACTGTAAATTGTTGATGGCTCTTGCCATCGTCTTCTTGTATCTGTTCAGATTTGAAAATAAAAAAAACCTTTTTTTTTTCCTATTTCTTTGTGAGGCTCCTCTGTAATGCACCGACAGAGCCACCAGGGGGTGGAACATAACCAACAGAAACGGCACTTGAGAAAACTTGAACAAAATACAATCTTTATTTGTTATATACATTACATACAATGCAATACTACAAGGCTTTCTACACATTCTGTGTGTGCACAGAGTGGTGTGTGTGGATCAGAGAGTACCGGCCTTACACTTCCTCAGACCCACAGCGGGCTCTGGAGACGGGCAACGACCATATATGGTAATAAGTTATGACACAGCAAAGGTTGCGGGACCATTTCCCCAACATGTCCAAAAAAGAAAACAAGCATTTGGCATTGTTTGGTAAATTAAGGTGTTCAGAATGAAGCTTTCTTAAACAAAACCTTCTTCTGGTAAAAAACTGAAATGTTCCAGTAAAGTGGAGAGTCTCAAACATTATCAGAATACCTTCAATAATCCTTATTGCTTCCTCAAGTATTCATTTATCATATGAAACCATTCTGTATAGAAGCAACATGGGAGGAAAACACACATGCCACCACCACCTTTCATCATCATCCGGAATAAGTGCATCTAAAAGAAAAAAATTGGATTTCACCGAAAATTGATACACAGTGGTAAGTATTTTTTATTCTAATGATTATGTCTCTTTAAATCCATATTTAAGGCAAAAATAATCAAAATTAGCAGAAATGCATCACTGAGGGTCTAATGAATCCAATAAAAGTATCTTCCTACACTTAATTACCAAAATAAAAGAAAAACTGAATTTATTGACATGTACCACTCTACTAAAAGACATTACATTCCAGATTCATCGCTCTCCTCTCTGCCAAGGTTTAAAATGTCTGCCATGTTAAGAGTTTTGAAAGCTACGTCTGTTAGCGGTTATTAAAAGAGGTGATGCTCCTGCCAGAGAGCAACTAGCAATATCCTCCAGCTACTTTCACTCAATCCAAGAGAAACAAGAGGAAGAGGAAGAGGAAGTGAGCCTTCGTGGCTGGAGATATTTGATACCGTCTTCTACGCTTTCAATGCGTTTTGCTAAAGGTGTCCTTTGGTAAGAGAATAGCTGGATAACATTTAGTGATTTCAAATATCAGTTTCATGAGCAAAGCTCTAATATTCGTATGCTACATATGAAGCTTCCACAATCACACGTGTGATGGGGGACAGTGGTTTTTATCTCTGTGCTAAAGGATTGCAATCATAACAACTCGTATCACTTCGTTTGGCAAATTCTTCCTAAAAACACCAGGACTGTTTTCCCAGCGTTCCAACAGGAGAATCCCACCCAGCTGCAGGTTTTAAGCGAGCTGTGGTCCTCACCTTCCTGCAGTGGAGCCACTCAGCTGGTGAGACTGAAAACAGTTCCTGTCATCTGCAGTAAAGGCCAGTTACTGTTCCTACAGTCCTAAACTGGGACCAGTAAGGAATGCCTGGTGGGACATGCATGAATATTTAGCCTGATTAAAATCTATGTTTTATGACCAATAAGTTAAACCAATCAGTAAACAAAAATAGTAGAATCACTCCATACTGCGCTGTAGTGCACCAATAATCTGTATGTAAAATAGAATGTACAGATTTAAACTATTGAACAGTGGAGGGAGACATTTTACTTAGCCAGATCCAAGTATGTATCCCGGCAACCACACCTTTACATCAGCACTTTTATAACTGCTGCTTAATCAACTCTTTAAAATGATCTGATCCCTGACTGATGTTTCCTCAAGTGGGAGTTAGAAACACCAGCTGGTGAGTAAAAAAAAAAACAAACTGATGTGTTTAGAAGGTCAGAGGTCAGGAATCTACGACTATGAGGCACATCAACCTACATTTACTACGTCAAGAGCGTCATGGAAACAGAAACGGGAGGAGTGAGAGGAAGATTCACTCCGACCCATGCCTGGTGGAGTTTTAAACAGCCACGCTGTTGACCGACCACGTCAACACGTCAATGGATTTAGTTAGGAACACTAACAGAAAAGGTTTAACTATCATTCAGTTGTTTAGGTTTTAAACCAGAGTCTTAATAAATTTACAGATTTATGCTTCAGTTCAGTAAACAGCAGGGCACAGCTTTACCATTTTCTGTTCAGTTTAAGGAAATGACTGTAAATAAAAACTTCCCTGAAATTTATCAACTAAAACATACATTCTTTTCTGCTTTGTGTTAAAATCTGACACCTTTAATAGGCATTTACTTAAATAGGGAGGAAGATTTTTCTTCATAAAGCAAAAATGATATGATCAATGATTTCATGTATCGCATGAGGTCCTGCTGATTCTAATCTTTCTTTTTTTTTTTAAACTAAAGTAAAAGAGGAGGAAATGTGCTGCACATTCCATGATAGAGGTAGCAGCTTTGTGTCAACCAGAACATAAAAGTTTTAAAATTTTTAGTAAACCAATATCTATGCTGTGATTGATGCGTTATATGGTGGACGTCTTCAGTTTTGATGCATTTTATGAGCAGGAAAAAGTGATATTTTCAGATTGTGGGCATATTGTTTGTAGATGTAATTCAACATCTATTATCTGATCCACTTAACTGTGAAAAAACCAAATCATTTGTGGGTTTTCTCCACTCACACCAGGGACTTTAAGGAAACCTATAGAAGGTCATTCGTAACAATAATCAAGGTTCTTAAAGCACAATCACAGATTTTTTCCCCTTATGCTGAATATCTGATACAGGAACTAATGAGTGTCTATGTGTAAACTCAGAACGTTTAAGAAAGGTGGGAAACATTCCAGAAGAAAATGCATCCAATCCAGGAAAATATTCTATATGTATATTTACATATTTTGTACATAATTTCAGCAATTAGAATCAATTCACAGTCCGATAATTGAAGTGTTTAAACCTGTATTAGTCAGACCCAAAAGGACTTTTAGATATCTTGACATATATATAACTCTCTCTCTCTATGTATATATATATATATATATATATATATATAGATAGATAGATATATATACATATTCATATTTTTCCCTCATCGCACTCACTAAAACTACTAAAATTGTAAACTACATTTTTGTTTGTGGTTGGTGCGGCTGCATGTCGTCTAGAAAAAAGTGATGAGCTCCAAAGAAAGCCGAGCAGCTCTTCAAAAACAAAAGCAGCAAAGAAGCCGGACGATGAACCTGAACGTGTTTCCCAGGAGAGACGTTCAGGAAAAGCCTAAAGAACAGATGAGCTGGAGAAACTCGGCCAACTTTCAAGAAAAAAAAATCCACTGGCCTTAAAAGTACTCACTGAATGCCTGTGTGTGAAGAGCAAAGCAGAAGTGCAACAAATTTTCTTTTTGTCAAATTAAAACCTTTTAGAGCTTTGAGCGTTCGGCTCACACCTAAAGAAAAACACACAAAAAAATATAAAAAAGCACCAAAGGCTTTTAGAAAATCTCACTCATGTCTATCTAGCAAAGTGGTGCTGTGTTTTAATACCCTCATCGCCATGGTGACAAAGCCTGTAAACACAGGTCAGTTAAGTGGAGGTGGACAAAGTGGATTCAGCTGACCAGTCTGGTGTGTTTTAGGTGTGTGTGCACAGGTGTGTGTTCAGCCAGGTGTGAAAGGAGCAGGATGCTAGAGGGTGATCAGGTCCACCAGGTTGCCCTTCGGGGGGGTCATGCTGTCGGGGAAGAAGTTGACGAGCGTGTCAAAGAGCTGCGTTCGCTGAGCGTACGTCTGGTCTACATCAGAGAAGCCTGAGAGGAGGAGGGAGCAGAGGTCAGCGAGGATTGCCCCCCGGATCGTTTCTCTGCACTGACACTTACTGCTCATTTAAAGTAAAAACAGTGTTTATCTCCAAATATGATAAACATTATTTCCTCTTGTATTGTCGCCAACTGAAGTCAAGCAGACTCAACCTATCCAGTATCTGTATCCCACACATTCAGACTGAGTAGGGTCTTACCTAGAGGGATGAAATCAGAACTGGACTTGAAGAGAGCAGTTGGTAGGAGCTGGAACTGAAACACAACACAAACACGTGTGTCACCGACGTTCAGGAGAACAGAAGAGTCAAACGGCCCTACTCTCACCTACGGCTGGGTAGCAGATCCATTTCATTTTGGTTTTTGAAGATTTAATTCAAGGAAAATGTGGATTGTTTTCCACCAATGGAAACCTTTAGATTCTGGAGTTCAAAGTAGAAATGCAACGATCTGATATTAATATCTGTATCAGTCCCGATTTTGAAAAAAATAAATAAATGAATAAATTCAGTACCTTTATGTCTGTTTTAAGTCAGTTAGGCTGATTTCCTGTATTGGATCGTATCAGCTGACACTAAACCTCTGATATCGGTATCAGAAGTAAATCAGTATAATTGTTTGTTTTTTTTATTTTATTTTTAAGCCAAGCCTCTCAGCTCTACTCTCAGCTGTACATGCAGGTTGACATTCACTCCTGTTAGTTTTGGTCTTTGCCGAGTTAAAGAAGTGTGTGTGAAGGCTGCAGTACCTCTTTGGTCTCATCAGGGTCAGTGTGGTCCACGGTTAGCGACAGGTCGTTCTGAAGGTACTTCAGAGCATTCAGTGGCTCTGACTGGGCTTTCTCCTCAAACCTACCACACACAGTCATGGTCAAACACACTGGGTAAACAATGACAGACCGCTGTTACAGATTACAACCACTAGATGGCAACATGCTACAACTTTCAGGTTACCTCTACTACTATTTCCCATAATTTACTGTTCTCTAGTTTTAAAACAAAGTCCTGACTGTAGATGGCAGAAAAATCTTTGTATCTGCTGTCTTATCATTGACCTGAACATAACAGGTGACGGAGTGACAGTGAAATCTGCAGACCTGTATTTCCTGATGAGGTATCTGCAGTGGCGCAGCAGGTACTCCTTGGAGGGCCGACACAGTTTGAGGGACCAGAAGTCATCCAGGCGCATCTTAGGAGAACACGACTTCCCTGGGTTTCCTCCAAACAGGTAGTGCACCTGGACATTTTGGCATAAACATGCATGGAACAGACGTTCTCCAACACCTACACTAAATTATTCATGTAATACTAAATTAAAAAGAGCTCAGATGGGACTGATTGACCGGTGGTAGGAACAGAAACATGATCTTTTCATCGAAGGTACAGTGGTGAGAAAATAACGAGTGATATCTGTTTATCAACAGACGGACATTTAATGTTGGTTTTAACAATACTGACAAATTCTGGCCAAAAAACAAAGAAAATATATTTTCATTTTGTTTCTGTATGATGTAAGAAACGTTTTCTGGTGCTGAAAAAAATGAGGAAGCCACATTGATTCTGGATTTGTTGCTGCTCATGGTCAGGACTCCCTTGAAAAAGTTTTTAATCTCAGAGTTTTTTGTCCTGGTAAAATAAAAGTTACATTAAAAAAATATTTTAAAATCCCACTTAACTGAATATGAGATGAGAACAGGAATAATAAACCAGAAGTGATTCCTGGTATTCAAAAAGCTCCTGCTGGTCTGTGTGGAATGTTGTCGTTTTTATCTTTATTTCTAAGCCCTAGAACAGGGGTGGCCAAGTCCAGTCCTCGAGAGCCACCATCCTGCAAGCTTCAGATGCATCCCTGCTTCAACACACCTGAATCAAATGACTGGCTCGTTATCAGGCCTCTGTAGAGCTGATCCCGGTCTGTTGGAGTAAGGATACTTCTAAAACTTGCAGGATGGTGGCTCTCGAGGACTGGACTTGGCCACCCCTGCCCTAGAATATTCATGAGGCGGTATGCAGTCAGAGGGATGTGAGAGGAGGGTGAGGGTATTTTATCGACACCGTTTGGGTTTTGGACATGCAGACTGTGTGGCAGCGCAGCGTAGACGTGCTACCTTGTGCATCTCATCGTAGACCAGCTGGTGTGCAAAGCGTGGACACGGTTCCTCCTCCTGCAGCGTCTTACTCGGGTTTTCTTTTACAGCCTGATCATTCTTATACACACATGACCTGAGTGAACAAACACACACACACAACACAGAAGTGATGACGAGGAAGAAGACGAAGAAAAAAAACCCTGAATACATCCTGAAGCCATCAAGGAAAAAACAAACGTAGCGTAGGCTGTTCTGGTTGTGGTAATAAACACACAAACAAAGCCACACTTCCAGAATTAGTTTACCCCAGTTCTTACCATGTGTCATAAATTCAAAACAGGAACAAATTGTAGCACATGAGGGACTAAAACCTCAAATGCTAGTGATGTGATTCACTAGAAGCATTTGGCCACAGCTTTTCCTGCACATCGTGTTCACTGTGATCCAACTGTTCCCTGCTGAAACGCCTCAAAAGACGATTTCTTTTGTCCGCCGTTATATAAAGACACTGAGTGCTGGCAGCCAGCTAGTGCTGCATGAACACTGAGCCTCTGTGGTGTGATCACGGTGACAGAGCGACGCTCTGCATGTGTCGGAGAACTTCCTGTGAGTGTTGTGGTTACGATTAGAGTCGGCTTTCGTTTCGGGGCCTACCAGTTGTTGCGGGCGATGTCGTAGATCCAGAACGAGTTGCGCACGTTCTCCTCACGTTTGTCCTTGTCTTTGCTCAGCCCCGACAGGACGTGGATCTCATTGAGCTCTGGGTCGATGGTGGCTCTCTGGGTGAAACCCGTCATCGGAACTGGGAAACGGTGAAAAAAAGAACGTTTAATGACAAACATTTGTTGCAGATAAAACTCCGGTTGTCCTGCAGGAAGGAGATCCTCCAACCAAGAAGACAAAAGAAGCTCTGCCTAAAGTTTGCTAAGCATCCTATTGAAGGTATAGGTGTGCACTGATTGGAGATTTCCGGTCAATCATCAATGTTTAAAAACCTGAGCTGCTGAATGGTTGATGAAGATCTTTTTTGTCTGAAAAGTCGTCATTGTTCCCTTTAGCTAATTTTCAGACCTTTATAGATATAGATAATATTGGTATGTGGTACAGGGATGTGCCAGAAAGTCGATCCACAAAAGAATCAAGTTTCTCATTTATTACAATTCAGAAACTATTTAAAATGTCCCAAATTTGATTATAAAAAAGAAAACAAATCCGCTGTCAACAGACTTCCATTTTGTAACACTGAGTCGTTCTGACGTCGCCATGCAGACGGGACAGGAACTTATGAGGCCAGTCTGGATTTAATTAACAGCAGCTTGTTAAAGCAACTGGAATTAAAAACTCACCCATCCCAGAATCCTTCTTGGTACCATCAGATATGATCTCTACATGATCTCCATCCACATCGTAGCTGAAGAAATCGTTCAGGTACGTCTTTGACCTCTGACCCCCAAACACATAGAGACAGCGGTTTCTCTGTACAGTACAGAGGTAGCATCAGTTAGCAACAGGTAACAGTAGTTAGCTCTACCAGGATCCAGTCTGAAGTCAGACTCACGGTGTGGAAGAGCATGCAGTGTCCGATCCGGGACTGAATGTCCTCTGGCCCAGCGTTGCACGAGTCTTCCCGTAGGAGGCGCCACGTCCCCGCCTGGCAGTGGAACGCGTACAGACCGCTGAACTGTGGCTCCGACGTCCGACTGTCCTCCACGCTGCCGTTACACGTCAGGATGCGGCCGCCAAACGTGTAAATCATGTGCTTCTCTGAGTCCATGCACATCTGCAACAACAGGAGAGGGAAATCGGATCAGGTTGGTATTCTAATATATTTGGTAAGACGTCAGACATCAACAAAATTTGGAAGTAGTTTGGCTGGATCACTTTCTCATTTGGGGGTAATTGCTTCTCACTGACAGAAATAATTAGGTGACAGCCGCGGTAAGCACTGGTCACCCCACTGTTACCAACTTAGTGAATTGTTGCTTTATTTAGTGACTTTTCAGACAGAAGAAAACTTTTTTTTTTTTAAACTTATGATCGGCCACAAAAGTGGAATCGGTGCAGTCCTACTGATCAGCACGGCAAATACAGGAGAAAAGCTTTTTTATGTACATATAACTCATTAAACCTTGGAACTCAAATAGATTCTGATTTCAACCAGAGTGAACTTAAAGAACTGCTCATCGGTTGGCAGATTTATTGTGCACCTCTAATAAATTTGCAATAATAAAAATATTTACAAGCATGTCTTAACACACAATCACTTTCCAAATTTTGCTGTGAGTAGCAGGTAGTTGGTAGTTATTGTTTTTTTTTTTTTAAGTGAACACCTGATTTGTTGATTATTTGCTAAACAAAATCCAAACTAAAATTTTGTCTTAAATTTCAAAAACAGAAAAACATAAAGACCATTATGGGCTTTTATGAAATAAAATTAAGAAACAGGAATTGATATTTGATTTGTTGAAAGAGCTGCCTTCCACTGTTCACAGTTTATAGAAAAACTTGCAAATCTAAAAAAAATAGAAAGAAAACTGTCATTTTAAATAAACTACCCAAAGACAAGTTAAAAAACAAAAAAGTCCCTGAATTATTTTGGAAGCATTCTATTGGCTTTTGGATGTAGAAATCCACCAGGAAGAAGGCTGGTGACCAGAGGTCAGAGGTCAAGTGAAAAAGAATCTCCAATACAAAAACCCTGAGTAAAAACAAGGAGAAGGCAGAGTGAAACAGGAGCGCTACCTGGTGGTCAAACACCAGCTTGGGCCCTCCGTCCGCCGACGTGTCCTCGCTGAGGAGCGTCCAGGTGTTGGCCGTGATGTCGTAGCGGTAGAAGTCGCTCTTCAAGGACTTGCTGTTCCTGACGCTGGAGTCCAGGTAGCGGCCCAACGTGTAGATCTGCCGGCGCTGCGAGTCGATGCACATCTTGTGGCAGGAGCGGGCGCTCGGGCCATTCTGATTGGTGGACAGCAGGCAGGTTTACAAAGCTGCCACCTGCTGGTGGGTTTGTGTCGTCGGGCTGGCCCTCACCTCTTTTTCTGTGTCCCTGGAGATGCAGGCCCACTGGTTCTCCTGGACGCTATAGGCCCAGAAGTCGGCCAAATCCTGAGTGCCATCCCAACCCCCGAACAGGTACACCGTCTCTGCAGGACACACACACACGCACACACACATATTACATCACTATTGGAGACATCAGAGGAGTGGACATCTGACATTACGTCAGCTCAAATTAAGTTACATCAACAAATGAAAGAAGCAAAGGGTGATTTTAATTCTGCCGTTATTTCATGGACGAACTCCAGAGCATTAATCTGTGTTTGAACATTTAGCCGCCCTGCCCAGAGTACAGAGGCTACAAACACAAACACACACACACGCACCAGCTTCAAAGATACACTCAGAAAAGCAGCCCATCAACATCCAACAGACCTGTTCCATGACCACAACCAGCAAGCTCAGACATGTCAGAGAGGAAGGGCTTTATTCCAGACATGTATATGTCAAACTATTAGAATCTGATTCATCACTGGGTTGCTGTGAAAGTTAATGAACAAGTCCTAAATGTTTTTATTACGGCCGTCAACTGATTACAAAAAGAATGTAAGACGCAAAACATTGGATTAGGCCCGTCACCATGACAAATCTTGCTGGATGATAAATTGTCCCAGAAGTTATTGCGATAAATGACAATATTGTTTTAAGACCATTTTCCAGTAATATAATGTTAATGGCATAATGATGCAAGAACACATTGTCAAAGATCAATAAACTTTAAATTCTAATGAACATCTAATTCTGGAACGGGAAGACATTTTAAATAACCAAAATAAATAAAAAAAAACAACAAATAAAATGAATTATAAAGTCTGTGTAAACAGAATTGTTCAATAAAGGGATTCTGTAGTTAATACCAAAGCACCAGACTGAAGACTTTTGTCATCCAGTTTTTGGTAGAAGGAGAGAAAAGAGAAAATCAATAAATCATGCAAATGGAAATTGAGCTCATTTTAATTTTTCTTGTGATTGATTTATTATTTATGGCAACCGGGCTGATCACTTCTCATGTCTTTGATGCTTTTGTATTCATCCACTGTTCAAGCTTTTTATTCGTTTGTAGCAGTTTAGTGTTGCTTCAGCCGTACGTAGCTGCATGTAAAATGAGGTTTTGCTGCGTTATTCTGTTAACAGTAAATTCATTTCTGTTGCTGCTGCTGTGCTGCAGCGTCACGAAGCAGCGCCAGGTACAAAGAGAGGAGACAGAGTGGAGCTGTTCCAGAGGAAACGTGAGAAAAACAGCTGAGACAAAGTCGGGCGTTATGTTAAAGCTACAGCGCAGATGGTTTCCACAAAGTACAGAAACCTGTACAATGTATCTTGTGTTTAAAAAAAACAACAGCATTAAAATAATCCAGGTTAGACACAAAGGATCTATACTAGAAAGTATCAAAGAATCCAAAGCAGATGTATGTGATGATAAAGAAATTTGGCAAAATTAGTAGGTCAGACTTAAAATAGTAATTAAAGAATCTAATTGAATTTTTTTTAATTATTATTATTTTATTTGCCTTTGTCCAACTAGACGTTCTAGACTTCTGTTAGTAGGGGTCTGAATGTACGTATGTACATTTCAAAACTATTACAAAATAAAGTAAAAAAAAAAACAACCTTTTTGTAGATAAAAGGTAAAAGATTCCATGGTGGAACCAGGAAGACGTCTGTCTGCTGCTGCTCATCAGCCATGTTTTACCACACAGAACTGTCTGAATGGAGGCCACATTTCAGAGTACGCAGCGTGGAAAACGTGGACATGGTTACTGAAACGACTCCACAAACGGCACAATTTTAGAAGAAATCTTGAAACTTTGTGGCCAGTGTTACTTTCTTCTTTTATCTACAACGACACCAAATCTCCATCAAAAAAGCCTGATTGGTTCACCTCCAGGTTAACGTCAGGTTGATGAAACATTCAGAATCACATAATAAAGTGACTGTCAGCATAAAACAAGCAACCTAAACAATAAGGAGTTTAACTGTCCAATGATTCCTCTTTTTATAATAAATGGTCCATGGAAGTAAACTGTATCAACTTGCTGATGCATACTAACTGCTAACTGCTGTTTGGAGCGAGTCTGAGCTCAGCGCTGCAGTGACTCCACCCAGTAATCTGCAGATCCACTTCCACACATTACACAGGCTTTTATCCCAGCCTCAACAAATCACAACTGAAGTGATGTCACCATCAAAGCCGAAGTAGTGATGTGAGTTTTAAATGTTGGCCTGAAGGTGGCTGAGGGAGGAAACGAGGCTTAATTTGATTACTCCGAAACAGAGCTTTGCATTTCCAATCTGACGTAGGAGGAAGTGACTCATGGCAGCATCTGCGTGGGTCTCACCAGTCTGGACGTCAATGACCATTTGATGTCCTCCCCTCATCCCGGGCCTGTTGTCATCGGCGTCACCTGGAAACGAGGAGACGGGGAGGAGATAAGGGCGGAACATGAGGATGGAGGATGAAAGTGAGGGAGTGGGTGGGAAGGAAGCAGGCAGAAAAACAGAAAGCAGGGTTAGGTTTCCAGTGAACTTTCAGAGCTCTGGAGTGTTTAATCCAACAGACTGGGAGGATTTCCCAGGTGAATAGAAGCTCTCACTGTTCACGTCGTCTCGGCTGATTTCTTGGCTGCCTGTACCTTTGTTGCACTTGGGGATGATCTGACTCCACCTGGGCTTGTACTCCTGCTGGCTGATATACTGGTTAAACAAACCATCTAGCAGAGAAATGAGACGGTGGAATGTTGGGAAAGCAGTGAGCGTCGGCACATGTTCACTTCCAGAGAGCTGCAGAATGAGGCGGAGCCGGAGCCGCAGGGCCGTACCTCTCACTGCTTTGTCTATGAGCTCCTCACAGGCATCAAAGTCTCCTTGCAGCACCAGACAGTCGTGCAGGTGTGTGAGCATGGGGTGCTCCAGGGCTATGCGCGTCTTCTTCTGCAACGACTCGAAGGCTTCCGTGTAGTTGTGCTGCCGGAAGTGCTTGAGGCAGAGCCGGATGGCTTCCTGTTCTCTGTACTGAAATGACATGATGGACAGCAACTTTCATCGATTCCACAAGCTAATCTGAGCTTTGAAGACGACTTCCTGTCATTTTATGACACTGAATTAGGGATGAATTACCTGTACAGCTATATGAGGTCTAGTATCAGCCACTACAGAAAAACAGCTGAATTTCTTTAAAATGTTTAATTTTCTTTTTAATACAGAAATAATGTACTGACTTACAGCTTCATTTGCTAACTCTGCACCAGTACAGCTCACTTACATACACCAAGAACAAGTTTGGTCAAACATGTGAAAATAAACTGCAACAAACCTTTCAAATGGTTCAGAAAGCGCAATTAGGAATTCGAAATATAATGTAAAATAAATAGTAAAACATGATGTTGCTAAGAACACAAAGCATAGAATTAGACTGAATAGATCTGCCTTATGGATTAAGAACATGCCCATCTGTGTCCAAGAGTCAAGAAAAACTCATTCTGAAAGTATTCATCCTTCCTTCATTAAAAAAAACTTCTTTCTATGACGCATCAGAACTGCAAACAGAAAAGAGGCCCACATCATGATGGCAGCACCACCATGCTCCACAGCTGCAACAGATCTACGGAGGTTTAGAGAAATTCTACAATAAGTTTAAGTTAAAGAGAAAAAAAATCACTGAGATTGTATGATAGTGAAATAATATCAAAAATGTTCATAACCGATTACTTTAAGAATATTGCCTCTGTGGTGCCAAATGTATGTAAAGTTGTGTGTGTGTGTGTGTATATATATATATATATATATATATATGTGATTCTAGTGGCATAATAATAAAGAAAGAAATGCCTAAGTTTAAGTTATTCTACAAATTAATTCTCAAGAAAAAAGGTGTTTGAAATAGTTTAATTCATTTTAGAGAAATAGTGGAAATGTTAGGAGTATTTTGAAAGATAAAGCTTGGAGTTCTGACCTTGCTGTACCAGTTAAGGCAGGGCTGCACCACATCAGGGTCCTCAATGCCGTGCAGTTCAATGTACCAGATGCTGAAGTTAAAACTGGGACCCCAAGACATCAGAGGCACTACGGCAAACAGGCAGAAAAGATTCAGGGAAATTAAGGAGAAATGGAAAACCTGAGCATTGTAAACGAACCCGATCACAGTCGGATGCCTTTTACCTATTTTCACAAATCTGCAGGGAAACATCTGCTCATCAATCTTATGCTTTAACGTAAAGGTCTCCTTGTTGTAGTCGTTCTTAAGGCCACTGAGAGGCAAGCAGAAAGAAGACTGGTCAGTTCTGAAACACTATTTTAACTTTCATTGTTGGTTTATTTCACTAAAGCCGCAGTAGGAAACGTTTATAAAAATGCCTTTTACATATTTGATAAACCATCAGTGATATGTTTTTCAGGTATATATAACCATTTTAGCATAAAGTAGGTATATAAATATAACCATTTTGGCAGGTATACATTTCCATAACAGCATAATCTAGCAACAATGTTAACATCATCATAAAAATACTGTATACATCTAATTTGACTTCCTAATTTAGCGACCTCTTTAAAAACTCCTGCTCCTTCTGGAATTCCACCTTCAGGAAGTCATCAAAAACATCACTCCTCCTCCATTAACCCTTTAACGTTTTTACCAATATTTTTATAATGAGCTCAGCAGATGTGCAGTTCCACCTGGATTAGCTAATTGCTGCTGGCTAGTCTGAAAAAGCTGAGGAGCTCTGAGGAGGAGCTTCACCTAGAAAAGGTAGAGAGATCACCTGGACAGAGAAGAGTGACTGTCCAGTGTTGACATTTCCCTTCCTTAGGACACAATCCAATCCTGACTTAGAATCAAATTCCTTAAGGGTTTTTTTTTTATTTGCTCAAGGAGATGTGGCATTAAACTGTAAATCATGCTGGGATAGCAAAAACTGAGAACAAAGATAAACACCCCATGCGAAAATAAAACAGCTTAACTTTTTATTTCCCCCCCTGGTTCTGACAGCTAAGTGCTGTGCAAGAGACAGAGATCAAGTGGTCTATTTTAGAACTGGACTCTGTAGTCAAGCAGCTCACCTGGACAAAAGTTCTGTCATGTTCTCCTCACTCATCCCACCAAACACTTTGAACTTCTTGAGGTTGCAGACATGAGTCTTCTCATACTTGCCAAAGGTGATGCTCTGAACAATCGCTGGCCTTTCCAACTTCAAGATTAAAAACTGGTGAAGAACAGACAGAGACACAAAACAACATGAAGCATAAAAATAGCAAGGCACCATTCCTTGGTGAAGACTGGCTGTACCGCCAAGTATGGTGATAAGTTAACTTCTGTGGCAGTGCAGTGAAACTGAGGGTGTGTGTGTGTGTGGGGGGGGGGGAATCACACAGTAAGTAAAGCCACAAAGTTAGCAAAAATCACAAAAAGGGGAGAACCTTTTTGTCGTGAATGGAACTTTACACATTGTGTTTTGGTCAAGCTACCAGACTTGGCAAAGTCACTCATCTTTAAGTCCTTTCCTCCCAGGCATATCAAAAACAACTAATTATCCAGAGAAAAAAAAAATCATGTTTTCATTTAAACATGATAAACAACTCATTATTGGCTGTTGACATGCCTACTAGTTTCACCTCTTTTAAGAGCATCTCTAACCACTTCCCCTTTCTGCTCATCCTTTAGCCTGGCAGCTACACATGTTCTTTAGAACTCAGGCTCTACTGATAAGTCCAGAAGTTGAAGGCAACCCACTGATATTACAACCCTATAATCTGATGCAGATGATGACATCTGAAGGAGAACACACAACAACTTTGATTGTATTTAGGACACCAAATGTATTTAAACGTCCTGTAAAAACAGGATACACAGCATTGCTCAGGTGAATGCTGTGACTTATTGGTCACCTTTTGGTCTTGTAATCCCTGCTGTGTGATCTAAAAGAAAACACAGTCTTTGACCTCAATAAACCAACTTGTAAGGTGTGAAAGAACAAAGTGATCTATGAAGGAGAAAACCACAGTTGCATGTTTATTAAGAAAATGTGAACAAAAGGTAATCATCTCTTTCAATCATACAAGGCAGTTATTTGCAGATTAAAATGGAGACAAGTCAGCATAGGACTATTATGACGTTATGTGATGTTATTCGCTTATTTGTCCTCAATTTCACATTGATCAGGAAGTACAAAGGAAATGCACTTAAATTCATATCTTAATTTGTATATAGGGACATCGTTTTCTACATTTTATAGATGCAAAGTCATTGGCTAATTGGATCAGCCTACCTGTGGAGGATAGTTGCTCTCTGAAGACCACCTTGAGGACTGATCGTTAGGTTTATCCACCAAGATATTTCTAAGAAATGAAAAAGATTGGCTTTATTTACTGAGTCTGGAAAGTGACCAATCAAGTTAGTAACAACAAAGGCAAGAAAAGACTAAAAAAAATAAATAAATAAACATTTACAGGACAGTAATTATATAAACTTCCATACGCGTAAATGAACAGCTTCCGGTGACAGTATGAAGCTCGATAGTTCAATTAGCAGTAGCTAGCATGACGATGAAGCTGTGAAGAAGCAACAGCTAAAATATAGCAGACTTATACACTGTACCCGACATTACCAACACTCCACTGATTAAACAGTGTTGCCATATTTCAAGCAAACCACGAAGTCTGATTTAGTTTCAAAGCACAAGTAAATAGGCTAATTAGCTAATGAGCTGGTTAGCCAATAGTAACAGGACCTGTGTGTATCAACTTCAGTTATGCCAACATAAACATTTACCGCACAGCATGCTAATGCAACAAGGTATCGATTTTTGAATTTGGAGTTGTTTAAAATGCCCCATTTTTAAAAGATAGTAACATGTTTTGCTTTGTTTACGTTCCGACTGCAAGAACTCACAGCACCTTGTGCTATGACCAGTAACTGCTACTGAGGCTTAGCTACACGTTTATAATACGCAGTTTAACGTTGTATTAAGGGCTATAAATGTCACACGCTACTGAATCAGAAAATCTTTAGAATAGCCAAAATAAATAAATAAATAAACCATCCCAGCGAGCGCCCTTGTCTCAGCTAGCGCTGGCTGTGTTGGATCTGAGACGAGCTAGGCCAAGTCCAGCCGGCTGGACCGTCCACCGGTGCTCCGAGCGACGGAACGCCCTCCATCAGCCATTAACACTAATGCAAACATGCAGCTAGTTAATGTCCTCAACACTCACTCGGGTAAATATGTGGAGGAATATGAGCTCCATTTAAAAACGCTGAAAGTAAGAACTCTGCTTTCAGGAACGGCAGCCATCTTGTTAGAAAATAGCAGCTAACGGGAGGCTGGCTGGCTCTCATTGGCTAGATTTTCCAACTAGTCCCGCCTTCTCAGTCGAATAAAATTAGACCTGATTGGACGTGATCTCCCGACAACATTTAGTAATGTTTTATCGTCATTCTACATTTTTTATTTAGTTAACACTAAAAAAATGTTATTTTTCAAATTAATGTCAAAAAGCGAAATTAATCTATTATATTCACTATACATAGAGAAAAATATTGTCAACGTTTTTATTATAATGGCTTACAGCTAATAAATCACCAAAATCTAGATTATCAGAATATTTAAATGTAACATTAGATCATTAAAAACTGATTATTTAACAGAAATTTCTGATTTTATGAAATGACATGCAATAGAGGTTGGAGGAAATATGTTAATATAGATTTTAAACTTTTAAAATAGAAAATTAATCTGAATTAAAACAGGACCTGAAATATTTTAATGGTCTCTCTTTTTTGGAGAGAAAAAATATTTACAGCCAAACAAAAAGACAAAAGTGACACACAAAAAAAAATCTGCTGTGTAGAATTGCTGTGTCATTAATGTCCATATTATTCTTTCACATCATTGATCATTTCCTATCAAAAATTAACTTCTTTAATATGTAAACACATAGGATGACATCACCATCTTCCGACATGTTGAGTCATGTTTCCCTGCGGAGTGCATGAATCACAGTGAGGAAAGTGAACGCAGCTTTCATAATGTAAGCTGGATGAATGTTCAGTCATTTATATATTCTCCAACCCAGAGAGGGCGCTCTACCTTCTTCTGGCCAAAGACCATGGTCTTTG